GGAGATATGTTACCATGGTAACCCAACCTCGTTTAAGATTAACCAAGTAAAGATTAGGAAAATTTTTAAAAGTATATTATGCCTAGCAAAGTGAAACCATATATTTAAACACTTCAAAGGAAGAGCTACTGACTTAGATCTCAGTTGCCTTAATCTCTGTCTAGCAATTTCTTTCATGTACTACTGCATTGCATTGTGGGATATTTATGCTGGTGTAATGATTGGCATACATCTGGCCCATTTATATGATGTACCTAAATGGTCATTAACAGTTAAAGTGCATTGTCCCTTTTCAATAAAATAAACAGATTTAATGGGTACTCCCCATTTACAGGTATCAGGGTGTAACATAAATGAGGTTTAGCTTAAACTGAAGATCGGCCTATACATGAACAAAAGTACTCTGATGCCCTGCCCTGATTGCACGTGGTAAGAGACTAAGTATCTCTGACTTCTGCAGTAAGTCATACTAGGGCTGTGCCACAACTTACCATCCATGACAGTACAGGCAGAAAACTGACAAAACAGTGTAATGTTACATCAATCGATAATATATTAAACATGTAAAGTGTTTATGTTATCTAGTGCACGCAACAATCAGACAAGGCCAGATCCTGTTTTTGACAGCAGGAGCTGCACGCCAGCCTCCGATGACTATTTAGTACCCACAAAACTGTTCGTGCTAAACGTGGAAACAACAAATTTGTTTCACCACTCACAGCAAAAGAAAAACACAGTCGTGTAAAATCAGGCTACGAAGGTGTGTGAAGAGATGCTAGCAGCTGCTGATGTGCAACCCAAAAGTAAACAAATGACTGAACCGAGCATCGCCGGCTAAGTGCACTCCATACAACAGGAAGAGCAAACATTGGAGGGAAATTACTGATGGGGTTGCATTGTGGAAAAGGAGGGCTTTAAGCAGCTGGTCAAACAGAGAAAAATATCAGGTAGGAAATATTTTTAATTTCAGCTTTAATATGTGACTATATTGTCCTTGCTGCCCTACTGGTGCACCATAATGCTACTGCTGGCACATTGTTTCAGCAGATTCACACTTTGAATTACGTAGTCTGTCTCATTTCAAAAGAACGATTTTGTTTGCACTAATAAATGTTGTTGCCTGCAAGCTGTAAACATCAATAAAACTGTCCTCAGGAATATCATTATGATATAACTGTTGGGCTTTATCGCCCACCTCTGAGCTCATATTTGGTTGGATTAGTAAAAGGTCTCTATGAATACTTTTTCAGATTAAAATTTAAATCAAGTTATGATAAACATGCAGGAAAATAAATCTCACGTTAAACTGTGTAGTTCAACGTGTTATGAAATATGTACTCAAATCATGCATTCCTTCAGTATTTTACACATTTTAACCTTTTTATCTACCTCGCATCAACATTCAGCTCAGGATCACCAATTAACCTAATAGACATGTCTTTGGACTGTGGGAGGAAAACCTAACAGGCACAGAGTGAACGTGCAAACTTGATTCGAGAACCAGAAACCTTCTTGCAGTGAGGCTGCAGTGCACCACTAACATTATATATACACTTTTTTAAAACATGGAGGCAATTATTGTTTCCACTAGTGTCTGCACGTAAAACAACCAGAATGACAGATCACATTGTACTGCTTTTTTCATCAGTGCGTTTTCTCCTGTTATCAGGGTGAAACATGGGACACGCGTGTCATGCTTGCCAAGATGGAAATAACAAGCAAAGGCCTTACTTTAAAATGACTACTGTCACCAATGTTTGCTAAAAGTGCAGAGTTAAAGATTGCTACCACTCCAGCAAATGGGATTATGCTTGATTCAAATGTCACTGCAGTGCCACATCTCTTAAAAGCCACTACACATACAGTAATGCCACTTTAAAAATAGAGACAGGCCTATTGCTCGCATGCTGAATATTTTGTGTTGAATTGTGATTATGTGTGTGTTGGTGCCCATTAGTGTCTCTGAGAAACATAAACTTCTCAAGACCATTTCAGGACTCTGGCCTGGCCTAACAGTGCAATGAGGGTCTGCTGCCAGGGATTACAGGATGCAATGTGATAGGTCTTCACATTTGCTGAGGGTCAAGCAGGGCGGAGGCTGCCACTGTTACTGGCTCTGCAATCAGCTGCTCACATGATGCATGACATCTGATTTACAAATCAAATTCCTCTGGCCAGCAGAACTCAACTGCACAGGGCTCTTGAGAGGTCAACAGCTTAAACTGGGGGAGGAAAAGCCGAGACTGTAAAATAACTTGAATGGAGTCACGGGCTGCTGCAACATCCCGAGCAAATGTGTGAGAAACCTAAGTAAGCTTGGTGTGGCTGCCAGCTGAGCTGCCAACAACCTGGCCTGGTTCTGCACAGCAGCTGTGCTGCTGCAGGTACACACATTTACGAACACATGCTCTTTTCTACCAATGGGTCATTGCGTGTATTAAAACTAGCCGACTGGAATTAGGACGGCACAATGTTGCCATTCAACACTGTAGTTTGGCAAATTTAGCCCAATCTTATCAGTTTTGTGAATTCTATACTAACACAACAGGGATGCAGCATGCACTGAGATGATTAAATATTAAATATCAACATAGTTTCATTTTGTGGTTTATTGAGAGTTTTCGGGCCTTGTTATGTGAAAATTTGAAATTGTCATAGCCAAAAATCCCACATAAGGAAGTCTACTTGACACCCAGAGAATTGAATCCCTATTGAACGGGCAGATCGAGGTCCCGACACAACAAGCCGAAAGGCTCCGACTTGAACTTTGTGTCTGTCTGCATGCTGCCACCTCTTCATATGTACAATGTTCCCAACAATGGTGACAGTAAATGGGGGACAATGGCCGTGAACTAGTTCGTGGAAACATGATTGATAAGTAGGTCATGTCTTGTTGTCACCATGTGAGGCATGAACTCAACCCTGCCCAAGTGTTCAAGCTTTAGCAGGCCATCTCCATGTATTCAACTATTCTTCAGCTAATTCTTTACGTCTATCCCGACTTCACTTTTTCCCTCCTAGATGGTTCAGAATTTAATTGCAAATTTACATCTGTAATGTCACGGCTTTCCTTTGAATTTTAAAAAAAAAAAAGTTTTTTGCAGAAACATTTTACATTAAAATTCACACGACTTGATTCTGCGGTTTTGTCTTCTTACGTCTAATTCGATAAAGCCACTTTTCCCACAGACTGTACCATATTACAAAATAAATAATTTTATTTATTTTTTTACGATCACAGAACTTGTCAAGCTTGTCAAGTTGAAACGGAAGCTGCTGCCCCTCGAGGGCACTGGCTGCAAGATTTTCAAAAGAACCAACGTTAAAGGCAGGGCACTAAATGAGTGCAGGGACATGAGCATATCTCTTAACTTCCAACAGTGTTTTTAAGTCCAATTCTTTAAAAAAATCTAATCTGGTGTTCACTGGGAATGAGATTGGGCGTGTAAGCCACGAGTAGACGCAAGCAGTTCTACTGTTGCGGTGTCAATCCACAAAAGTCTACTACGTGGCCTGGTTAATGCTGACAGGATGACAAGTGCTGTGCCAAACACAGAGCAAGCAGTCATGAGATAAAACAGCATTGCCTCCCAAACGCTGCTGGCAGGCAGCTGATGAGGTCCCCTCGGGGCTCGAGGAGGCTGAAGAGCAGCGAGCACGAGGAGGCCAGTGGTCCTAATCTCTCTGAGAAATCCAGACAGCTAGGAGAATGTGCAAACTAAGGCAGGCTTTACATTACTGCGGTCCGTGACTGGTATTCGTCAGGAGATTTCAAGTGTGCTTGCCAATGTGGCAGAGCCCCAACACCCACACTCATCAATGCCCTGCTCCCAATAGGGTGCCAGCTTTGCCACTCTAGGAATTGTCAGCTTTCTGACATGTAGGAGGAGGAGGTGGTGGTGGTGTAAGCAGACATGGGTAACTGACGGTGTGGCACAATGCATCCATGGGTGAGACCATCCAAAAATAGAAAAGCAGCCTTGTGGGTTATGTGAAAAGCAAACTTGAACAGAAAAAAGTGGCCAAAAAAGCTTTGGTGGAGCTTCATGTTTAAATTTTAAACTCCAAGCCCAAGCATTGCCTTTGGGTGGGTGTTTGGGGACTGGGGCAAATGTAATGTGCACCGCATGGAATTTCCAGCAGGAAACAGAAGGAGCCGTTATCTGAGACACGTTATGAACAATATTGTGAACATCGTGAGCGTGAGTGCAAGTGATTCAAACAGCTACGATATCGCAGGGTCATTTACAAGTCTTCTTAAATCTTCCCCAAATGTGAATAAAGCAACAGAAATGCCCGGAAACCCAGAGTGAAATAAAAACAGCTGTTTCTCTAAGAGGTGGGCACGCATGACCGTGGACTGGTTCCGTTGTCATGCTGCGGGACGCAGACTGTTCAAACTGTAGCAGCGCTCTCGCTAGCAAGCGGCGAGCCTCAGTCCGTTTTCGATGCGGGTCTTAAGCTATATCCTTCACGGGAAGGAAAAATGTACGGACCACACTCGTTTCTTTAAATTCCGAGTGGCTTTTGTTTTAACGTAAACACCCGCTTCATTTAGTCTCCACCAAAAAGGAAAACAACAACCAGGCGCTACACACTGGCAAAGCGGGCGATGCTAACCAAGCTAGCTCGCTAGCATGCCCCAGACAAAAGCCTGAATGAAGTTCCTATGGGTGCAAACACCATCCAGGTATCGCTGCTCCGCCAGAGGTGCAAACGCTGGGATTCGAGCACACGCATCGTTCCTAAACCCCCTGACAACGTTTCCCTCGTAAGAAAACTGGAGATTTGTGCTTACCCCTCCTGGTCCAGGTTTACTTTCTTCTGTGCTCTGTTTGAATGGTGTGTTGTTGTAGGAGGGCGTCCTGTTCCGGGGTCACATCCCTCCAGTCGGCAGAGCTACGGCGAACTGACTCAACGCAGCGACTCTCCTGCTGGCTCCCCGGTACCCCTGCCGGCCACCAGGGGCGCCACCGGCTCAGCCATCATTGCACACTCATCAGTGGAGTCTGAGCCGTGAAACGTGGTCTGGGTCCGACAGCCGGGTCACCAAAGGGTAAATTCGGATCTCTGTATGGCTGGTCTTTTTAAAGAAATAAATAAGGTGATGCCGGAATTAATACAAAGTAGTGAGAATGTACAGAAGGTATTTCTAGCTCTTCATAAGTTAAAGGAATCATAAATAGTAAAATAATATATTCGTTTAGGTCTATAAACTCAAGTTAAATTACATTCATGTGAGTTTGTGAGCATAAAATTATTTATTTATTGATTATTTCTTTTTAAAATTAGTTTGTTTAATTTTTTTTATTTATTTATTTTTATTTTGGAGGTTAACTGTGGTGTAGACTCTTTATGCCTTTTTTTTCAATACTACACTAACAAAACAACAGGACAAATTAGGACAAGACAGACAAACTGTGTATTTAAATACAAATAACATACATTCAAATAAAAAAAAAACAACAACACAGGTTAATGTTGAAGGTGTATTTGATGTGCAGTGCGTAAAAGCTGAACACAGGCATTACTTTTGTTAGTTTTTGGCTCAAGAGAGAGAAGAAAAAATAAATTAAACGTAGTTAATAACAATAATTATAACCATTATAAAATAAAATAATAATACTAATAGCCATCATTATCATCATCATCCTATTTCCTATTTCCATTGTCATCGTCATCTTTTTTTTGTTAGTATTATCATTCAACATATTATCATCATACATGTGGCTATTAAAGTATAAATGAGTCTCTAACTACAAGTTAGAACCTTATAGCTTCATATAGCTATACTTATATCTACACAAGTATAGCTTTTATAGATTGTGATTATAATTAGTTAAAAAGTTAAAAAGAAAAATAATACTAATAAAAATAAAAGTAAAAAAAGGAGTCACTTGGGTCAAACAGGTAGGGATTATGTTGTAATATGTTTTTAAATGAGCCTCACCGTCGCACATCTCTGAGCCACTTCCGTGTGTAGTAGTTTTTCAATAAGATACCTCAGGCTGTTCATCACCTGTTTTGTGTCTGGATTGTTCATTACATGCAAAGGTTTTTACTTCTGTTGCGGTGAAATTCGGCCATATATGCCCTATAAGCAAAACTGAATGTGACAACTCCTGATTTAAGAGAAAGCTCACAAAATCATTTTGCAAAGAACCACTCAGTTAGTTTTGCAGCACTTTTAATTGATGTCCAATGAAAAATATAATTTTCAAATTTTTTTGTTGAAAAAAAAAACAAAAAAACAACCAACAATTCAGATTCTTACTTTTCAAAAAGACATTCCTGCAAGAAACTTATTAGCCAATTGAATAGAAAAGTTGATACTGCTTTACCACTCTTAAATATTTCGATGAAATATGATCAAGTAAGAGAGAAAAACACAAAAAAGCAGTCATGGTTTTACATAGCTTCCACAGCATACTCATACTTAATACAGATAATCAGGCCAGACTGCAATATCTGTGACCAACATCTATACCAAAACAATAAACAGATGCGGACACATTTGTTGGACTTTATCACATCTGCAAAAACCACTGTACATTATCACAAATCACTTTATTGCCACTTCCTCAAATATGGAAGCTAAACTGCGAATGTTTCTAATAAACAAGGGGGCTACTGTGTATAAGGAGGTACTGAAACTAGTAATTTATGTTTGTAGTGGTGTTGCACACCAGACTGATATGACCTAAAGAATAGTTGGAGATAAGCAAGTCCCTCAGACTTGAAATGCTGATGAATATTTAGGGAGAAATGGAACATGGGGGTGACTTTGGTGGATTTGGCCTTTTTCCAATCAATCTGCCTATTTGAAGTTGCAAAAACGAGCGTAACATTCAGCTAACAAATGGCTTGGATTCTAGAAAGTTCTCCCTTTACACTCTGTTTACTGACATCATGTTTACCTCCTCATAACATCTGAAGCACAAGTAAAAACAGGATGCAGAGAAAAGTCTATACTGCATCTCATAATTTTTAGCTGCACGCATGTCAATCAGGGCAGAGCCTGAAACTGATTCAGCAATATACTTTACAATTTGCAAAATAAAAAAAACACACACACAACAAAGAGTAGCCCATTAATTCGTTTTTCCTGACTTAAACATGCAGTGCTTAGTGGAGCCCACATTGAAGGACACTGGCGAGCTGTATTTTAGGTCTGTTCCACAGTGAATCGCTCAGTAGTTTAAGGTACCTTAAATCCTCATGCTGTGTAATCTACACCTACACTTGCTCTAACTGTACAGAGACTTGTACAAAAAGTAGAGACCTTTTAAACCGTTTTGCAAAAATAAAAGAGGCTATAAATAGCACATTATTTTCTTTCATTCAAGTGGACCCTGCACGACTTACGGAATGACATACAGCATGTAGAGTAATGCAAATGCACCACAAAATGAAATGACACAGCATACGAGCTCACTTTAAATAAACGCCATATTTTACAGCATCAGATATGTCAAAGTGTGGTTGTGCTTGACACTGCAAGCATGAAATCGCCCTCATGGCACCTTGTACACCCATTAAAAAAATGCAATGGAGATCACAGTTTAAGTGCATATTTAAATATTAGAGAACACACACAGACACACACACACACACACACTCACAGATGCGTACTGCTCTTTCTAAGATCATAGACCTAGTCCAGGTTTACACTTTCAAAGAAGGCATGACATCAATACTGCATTTTGAGAAAAACATCCACAAGTCTATGGCTTACATGAGTCTACGGATTGTCTTATTCTGGGACCTGCTGAAGCTTTTTTTTTTCTGTTATTTTCACCAAACATATATGAGATCTTTGCCTTGCGCATAAAAAAAAATTGTATTTTTCTCCAGAAAAAGGGAATAGAAAAATAAAATAGAATTGTAACTTCAAAATCTAAAATAAAACTGATTACACTTTCATGGTGTCTTTTAAATATGACGCTGGAGTCAGCAGACAGTCTGCTTAGCTTAGCATAGTTAAAGCAAAGCAGCTAGTCTTTCTAAAGGAAACAGTCACTTTTAAAGATCACCAATTAACATGGACTGTGCGCAGTGCTGCAGTGGTGAGCACTGTCACCTCAAAGAAATAAGGCTGGTCTGCAGTGGGGGCTGTGGTGGAGTTGGCATGGTCTCCTGTGCGTATCCCTGTGAGGTTTTTCCTCCCGCGGTCCAAAGATATGCTTGTTTGATTAACCAATCATCCAAAATTGTCCATAGATGTCCATGGATGCGAGGAGGGACATTACCCCGCCCCTTTCTCAATACCACATAATATAAGCTCCACCTTCCCTAGTACCCTAAAATGGATAGGATAAACCTAGTATACTTAAATCTCACTTAAGCTAAAAGGCAAGTAAGTGTATTTCTTAAAATAAGAGTAGTATCAGGGTACCTTTAGCTATAGGTACACACAGCCTGGTACACAGGCATGTTTTCAAAATAAAAGTCCTACATTTTCTTAGACTATACTATAAAATGCTTCATGTGTATTGGCACATATTCTTCTTCAAGGCAACATTAGACAACAATGTTAGAACGACAAAAAGCATCACCTCTTTTTGAAATATTCTTTGCGACCTAACAAGTACATCAGCACTCATTAAGTAGTTACCACAGTTAAATAAAAATACAATAATGACAATATATATATTTTTTAAAAAGACACGTTTTGCAAAGATACAGTTGAAATGAGAGGAAATAACCTCATAACAGCTATCGTGGGTTGTAAACCGTACGAAAGTCTTGAGGTGAAACTGCTGTTCCCTGCCGAACAGAGCCTCAAGTCATCATAAAGTTCGTTTGCAGCTTGCTCCCTGTTGAGTAATGCAGTCGATGAGATGAACTTTCTGTTTCGGTGATTCATGACACTTTGCATGAGCAGGTGGTTTTCAAGTAGCAATTTCAGCAAATCAAAAACAGGTTTATTCTCTGGGTTGAAATGCTCCTCGTGGCAAAGACATTCCACTGATATATGGGAGGAGGATGAGTGCGATGGATTTTCTTCACTGTGAAAATACTTGTGTGTGTGGAAGTGATGCTCCAGGATTATCTCATTATCTTTGGATGCCTCTGCTTAGTTGTTATTTACCACATACAGGCCACTGAGATGTAAACGTTTGCTAAAGAGCTTTTCAGAGTCTTTGAATTCCTTCTGTCAAGTAAAATATTAGACTGTGTTTATGTGTATAAGTTAAAAATCCATGTATTTGGCTGGGCCTCATGTTTCATTGGTTCAGTGTTCTTCATGGTCTATTATCTTTGGCCAGTGAGTGCATCATCCAGTTGACCTTGGTCTTCCAGCTTTCCCGCAAGGCTTCGTTGAACTTTACTTTGAAGTTCTTCAGCGCCTCGTCCTCTGTTTTGCCCAGCGCTAAAGAGTCCTTTTAAAAACAAGAAACCACTAATTATTAACATTGTTGTCATTCTCCTCATAATCATTAACTGCTACATCATAACTGTGGCATACCTTTAGATACTGTATGTCTTTGAAGGACGTGAGTTCAGGTAGCCCCGCTGCCTTCATCATGGCGAAGAGGTTGACAAACAGCGTCCCGTTCCGACACAGGATCTTATAGGCCCGCTCACAGTACTCCCTGAACCTGATGCAAAAGATGCAAAAACAAACACGTTTCATAAGTTAGCAGAACCCCAGAACAATCCATCCATCCTTTACTGCTTATTCAATTCAGGGTCACAAGGTGCCTGGTTCCTATGCCAGGGTACACGGTCTATTACAGGGCCAAGACAGACAACACAGACTCCACACAGAAAGGCTCCAACTGACAGGTGGATTTAAACCCAACACCTTCTTGCTGTAAGAGGACAGTGCTTGCCACTGCACCACTGTGCCACCGTCTATAACTATAACTACGTACGTGTGTTAGAGTTACATGTTTTTATTGTACCTCTCAAATTTCTCACTGTTGTTTGTTCGTCCTTGCTGGATCACGTGGACAAAGTCATACGTCAGGATAAAAGGCACGCGCTCCCTGTTGATCCCGAGTTTCCGCTTGAAGTTGCCCAGGAAGTGCCCGAAATCAATGTGGAACAGCTAAAAAGCAAAGTCTCACTTTAGTCACTACGTCTGAGTCTCCCAAACACTGACTGACCTAAACAATTTGACTCCAGCATGTTTCACCAAAAAATTATTAGAATATTACAAAGCACATTTTTTTTTACCAACTCCAACCAAAAACGTTACACATCAATCAACAACATAATTTTGCTGAGATTCAAACGTGCAGTAAATCTTACCTGTCCAGTTTCCCTGATCATGATGTTGTCATTGTGACGATCTCCAATGCCCAAGACGTAAGTAGCTACACAGTAGCCAGCGCAGGACAGTGTGAACTCCTCTATCGCTTGATCAAGTTTGTCCCTGGTGACATAAAAGGTCACAGAAACGAGGAAGCAGAACGTGAGCGAGTTGTGTTCTTACAGTGCTTTCACACTTCTCTTATATTTCCTATATCAGCCTGCGTTACACAAACGCAGCCATGAAGCAGAGTGTCATCGGTGACAGAGCATATGAAATGTTCAAAGAGGAGTTCCTGTGGCTGATTAACGCCTGATCGTCACATCCTTTCGCAGCCTAGACGTGCGGAGGGTTCATTGTGTTTTTTATACTAATTTTCTCACGCTGCAGTGTCCGGGCTAATTATCTTTGTATTCTGTGGGGCCATCAGCCTGGACACACCAACGTGAAGTACAGAGGCTTATTCATTACTTCTTCAAGGAGCTTTTAGAATAGACAAGACCTTCAGACTGTCTGGCATCAAATAAAAATCTACTCTCATTTAATGCTGCTAAAGATGCTGCCAGCTGGGGCACTTTGTGCTGCTCTATCCGGTTTTAAAATGCTACAAGGAAAAAACACTTTTAAGAAAACAATTTAAGTAAAAAAAAAGAAAAAGAAACTACAAGATGAAGCAGTACTGTTTGCTGCTCACAAGAAGTGAAATATTTATATCAAACTATGCAAGTTTTCCTGAATGGGACTGGGAATAGGATGAAGGCTTGTGTGCCTTAAACACCCTTTTTTTCATATTCTTAAGTCTTATTTTCTGTCCTTCCCCTCCCCCTTCTTTTCCACATGAACAAAAATGGATAATTGATCGCAAACATATTATTGTTTTACTTAAAAAATATCAATACCCATCTGTGGCTCAATATACGCGGCTGCTTTGTGCTAAAATCAAGAGGAGTCGATGAAATGATGAGATGCCGCTTAGGAAAATTCACATGATGTTATCGCGAATTTCAAATTGAAAAACTTCTTTCTTGACACTTGACAAGTCAGCACTGTCCTAGGAGGACTTGGGGAAGTCCCCACAACAACCTGAGGGAGGTTTATGGGGGGAAAAGGGTGCATATGCGGATTAGCTCACCCCACTCCTGCTCTGTGCCTTCTGTGTGGTTTTATGTCATGCTTGGCTGTGTGTATAATGCACCTAATTTGCTTTGCTTTTTGAGGTTAAATAGGGTCATCACCTCTACAGAGTGTCTACACCAAATAAGATGACAATCGGAGAGCTTCTGAGAGTTGCCATTGTGCCGGAGTTCATCGTACTCACTCGGGATTCTTCGATTTGAGCCAGTTAAGCAAGGCGTCCTTGTTGAAGGCAGCGGTAGCGGCGCTGTTGCTGCTGTTACGCTGGATGTTGGCAATTGTGTCAGAGTTCTTCACAACCTCGATGAGCCCCATTTTGTTCCCGGTCGACAGGCAGCCGTACGGGATCATCCTGTGTTTGCCAAGTCGAAAAATGAACAGCGTTAAGGCTGGTGGACAAGATTTCCCCGTGCACAAGAGGCAATTGGTGTAAGAACCAGCTCCTACCTGAGATCCAGACCTTCTTTCTTCCACAGATTCTCCATGAGCTGGATCATCTGCAGGGTCAGCATGTCTTGTCGAAGGTCTAAAGGTGACAAGGAGAAATTGATATATCTAATCCTAACTTTTCTCTCGCATGACTCGTTCCAAACCCACAGTTTTTATCTTCCCAGCAGATTTGAATGTGCAAACCAGCCCTTAAACTAAAACAGGCACCTTGAGAAAGGTATGTTCGACCTTCTTGTCTCTTACCATCTCCATTTTTGAAGATAATGCCCACCATGTCTCCTTCAACTGCGGGATTCTTGAACATCAGCCAGAGTGGCTTCATCTTGGAGTCCATAAATCTGCATCTATCAGTACTGTAACAGCAAAAATGCTCATGTTCATTTTCATCCTTGTACATATATTTTTGCTCAGTAACTGATATCCCTTGTGATTTTTTTTGTCCAGGACGACACTGACAATGCACTCATATGTTTGTAGGAGGGAGAGCTGAGAGTAAGTTGCTGTGATCCTGAATCTACTGAAGAGTTAATTTCTCCGTGTACCACTTAAATGTATTTTTTTTTATTCAGTAAAGCCAGAAAAGGAGCCAAAGTGGCCTTTGCAAAATCCAATAAGGAGGACAATAATGCATAAAACAATTATGCTCTCTTGTGTGCGTTTGCATTTGTGTGTTTGTCTGGGCCACTAACCAGATCTCAGAGAGGATGATGCTCGGGTTGAGTGGTGACAGAAGGTCTGACAGGGCCTCCAGGTAGGACTCTTGTCTGATACACTGCTTCAGGTCCTCTGCCGTCACCTTCTGGGAGCCCAACTTGACAAAGTCACTCAGGGCCTTCATTTTGCCCAGAGCCTCATTCTGAGTGTGTGAGAGTTAACACAGAGACTGAGAATCAGTTGAAAACACACAAGATCAAAGCGAAGGTGAGTAAGAATCAGGAGGTGATTACCTGTTTGGTTAAGAGCTTGATGTGATGGATATTTCCCCTGCAGTAGGCCTCGAGAATCAGGCCAAAGCGCAAACCCACAGATGCCACATGAGTCTCTGACCTACAATAGACACAAATCTCCAGTCAAACAAAAAGCTGACTCGATCTTGTTTTTCTTTCTGCTCCCTTTTTTCTAACTAGCTTGTATTTTTTAAAGCTAGCCCCTTCTCACTCACCTGAGATGCCAAAACAGAAAATGTCCGATCCTCCTGTTGGACAGTGCCCGTTCCAACAAGAAAGTGGTAAGGTCACAGTCCAGGTAGGACTCGTACTTCAGGACCTGGACCAGCTGGATTAGATAATGAAGCAGCTCATCATCACTGTGTGCAGAGAAATGTGGCTTATGCGGTTAACAGTCACAACACAGCATGCCTGGCACTGTAAGCTTCTGAAACAGATGTGTGTGTACCTGAGCTTTCTGAGGCATCTGATAGTGAAAGAACGAACCGCTGGGTCGGGAAAACTGTAGTCTAAGAGCTCCAAGGCGTGGATGGCAGGGAGGTCTGGCCAGTTCCTCAGTAAATTCACCATCTGAGGAGAATCCAAGAATTATTTTCTAACATGATGAGAAAAATCAAGGAGATTTTGACAATTTGAAGATTAAAGCAGGCTGCTGATGTTAATTCACAACTCGATATTTCTTTCTGCGGCAGTGACATTACTATAATTTTGCATGATTCACTGTTAAAACATTCCTTAGTTTTGAAGCTCCAAAAACCTGTAAAGTCACACATTTTCTTGCTCTTGTTACAACAAAGGTTTACTGCAAGACCTCTGTGGTTGGTAAATATTACCAACATAATATTATAAATAAATATTATATTACATAGATCAGAGCTCGTGGTTGCCTGTTTTCTATAGATAGAACTTTATTTTGAAAATGTAAAAGAATGAAGTACAGCTGGCATTCATGGACGTTTGCTAAAACAAAATAAAACACCCAATATAAACTATTAGTTGTCTGTATATAAGAAACTAAGAATACATACTGATATGGATATGTGTAACTGTAAAGAATTATAGACCCTTCACTCACACACACAGATACACACTTATCTACACTACATAGTATTCATCCCAGTTTTAATCAATAATCCTATATAGACTATCATTTCAGATGAAAAATTTGACTTTTTTGAGCTTTTTTCTGATTCGTTCACTCCTTGTTTGAAATTTTGGCCACTTTAACCCTTAAAGCTAAGCTAATCATCTGAAACAAAAGGTTTTACATCTCCAGCTCGACTTACAGACATCCGTGAAAAATACAAAGAATAAATAACGCTTTACTCGTACCTGAACTACATCCTCACGCTTATTCCACTTGGTGATGAGGAGGAGCTTGGACAGACTTTCAGGATAATGATCGCGGACTTCGGTGCGGAGCTTCCACAGGAGCTCTTTCTCGTCCTCGAAAAACTCGGTGTAGTTTTTGTTGTCCATGAATTCTTTGAGCTTAAAGTACTACGGAGAGCACACGATCCACACACAAAGTTATTAAATTTTCTGCTTTAAAAACAAAACAAAAATTCTAACTATGTAAAATTTGTCACATGTGAGTCCTACCTCGTCTTTAGTGGCTAAACTTAGATCACCGTTCCTCTCCATGTCACATATCTGAAAACACGTGAGGATTATTGCTTGGACTGACTGTCATCAAACAAAGATCCAAATATGTACTTCAGCCTCAATAAACATGACACAATAATTCTGTGTAAAATTAAAATGAAATACATAAAATCATAAAATGACTTATTCAAATAATTCATCATTAAGGAAAATGTTTTTTGGTATAAACTGAATACAAATCCTAGAAATTTCATTTAACTATATTCCATTAAATTTAGTAAAATTTTACACTGTACTTCACGTTAGTTCACCTTTTTTTTTTTTAATTGTAACTTTTGTGTAGTCTTTTGGGAGATAGTACCTTTTCAAGTGGAGGGTAGTAGAGGGGGTGTGGCCGGATGTTGGGAAAATGAATGAGAAGTTCAGCGGCGCTGTCCACGTTAGGGTTCTTCTCAACAGTTCCCATCGGGTTCAGCAGGTCACTTTTCTCATCTGTGATAAAAACATCATATATGAAATGATGAAATGTTCCATTTGGTGGAATCTTCTTCTCAGTTTTTAGTCTTTCGTCTAAGAAAACCACTCCCCCGCCTGGCAAACAGGTACTTCAGCATCTGCAAACAGGCTATCTTATTGCATCATAAAACACAAAATGTGTCACTATGTGTGATTTGGGCGGCAAGACGTGTCACTCTGGGCATTTCAGAAGCTCTCTGCGTGCTTCAAAGTGTTGTGGAGGAGGTGTTTTTTTAATTTTTTGAAGAGGATGAAAATGTAAGAAGAGGCAAGGCTGAAAAGTACCAGGAACACACGGCCATGTGGATAAGTGGAACTCCCCAGTCTTCAGCTGGTCCTTGTAGTCAAACACCATGGTGTTCACCCAGGCTATTGGACAATCCTGAAAAGACAAAGAGAGAAACTTTATTGTTTCACTTCACACACCATCTTCAAGCTTGAGGATCTTGGAAATGGTTTAAAACTGAGTCAGAGAATGTAAAAGATGTACAGAGGAAAACGAACCTGCATAGCTTGCAGCCTGAGCTATGTTTCCTCAGTTGTAATAAAATCATGTGCAATACTTGGGCAATACAAATCTTTTATATTTCAAGCTCTTTCCTCTCTGAAGATAAAAACGTTTGACTGAGAAATCTTTTTTTTTTTTTTTGCATCATAAAAAATTAAAATCAAGATTCTCTAAAGGCAAAGCTTTTTTATTCTTTAATCTAAAATGCTTTGAATAATTAACCATCTCCTGCCCAACATGTGCTTTATTTTAAAGGTTCACTTGAATTCAAAACTTTAATATTCTAATTGCAATAAACACTCTGAACCTTGATTGCGGTATATTTAATTTAATTCACCGTTAGACTTAGAACCGCCTCCAAAAACATGACAATAAAACGTTAGGCGAGTGATTCGTTTGTATTTCTAACTTCTAAAGTTCTCTATAAAAAGAATTTGGGTTCCAAGAAATCAGTAGAAAAATGACTTCCATTATTTCAGTGTGTTAAAAACAACAAAAACACAGTTAACACATTCAAGTTAAAAAAAAAGAAAGAAGAAAAAAAGGCAGTGCACATAAACAAGAGCGGCTAAAATAGCTCAACTTCCGCCAGCCTTTCTGCCGTCTGGCTGCAGGACTTCTCTTCCAGGCAAACAAAGAGAGAAGTGGCTCAGAAAGCAGAAGTGGTCTTAATGGCTATAAAACACACCTGGGCTACATGTTTTGGAGGTCTGCACAAACTCGAGCGCACAGCTGCTGCGTCGCTTCAAAACAGAAGATACTGCGACTACAGTAAAAGGGGAGTTTGTTGTTCTTGTTCACTGTACCTTTCATTGTATACAGGGGAGGTTTGTGGGGGCTCTTTCAAATGTGGTATTTGAGTGTACTGCCACCACTGTAGCAGCTGTGCACCGTCCTGAACAGGACATATTTTATATTCATTTATATGACATAAAAGGAGCTGCTGCAAGAAGCTGCTGAAGCCCTTTAATCCAACTTGCTTATAGTTAAATTAACATGTTAAATTTTGCATGTATTAATAAAATGAGAGGTAATTTGTTTGCTAGTAACATGCCGAGTGGAGCTTTTTTAACAAACATTTGTCATTTCGACCATAAACAGAAATGCGTATGGCATCGGTGTCAATTAATTAATTTTATCAAAAGTATGTTTTTTCCCCTCAGGTTAAAAGTTTAAAAATCTCTCTATGCTGGAAACTTCTTGTTATATAGAAAAGAAAAGAATAAATTCTCTTAAATTACTAATAATTAGTAGCTGCTCATGAATTTCTGTCAGTTGAATGACTGATTCAGCAGTTAATGTAATAAATGTTTTAAAGATAATTGGTGCATTAATGTCAGATCAGGTGTTATTGTCATTAGTATCTACATTTTGTGCTTTTTTAAACTATATTTTTGGGCCTTCCTTGTGTCAGGATACAGGGGAAGACACACTGTAATTGGATTCTGGGTGTATCTGAACTTTTTGCATTAGCCAAACAAAATACAGGTGTCCTGCTGAACCCAGTCAGCTAAACCAGCGTTCAGTTACTGACTGGATTTTGGAAAAAAAATTACTCTTTCTTGGGGTGTTTGCCTTGCAGACCTTCAGGTGTCCTGATCAGCCTTAATTTTTCAGTTTAACAATTACACTGAAGTGTCGCCCTGGTATCACATACTTCTTAGTCAATACTAATTATTTTCAATGATGGAGCTGTAGCTAAACAATTATGTGCTTATCTTAGTGTTAAACCACTAGTTTAAACCACAAATTATTATGATTTTTTTTGTTTAGAAATAAAACTTCATCATAAGCGGTAAAGCTTTGTGCAAACGATTACAATGCTTTTTATATTATCACCATTATTACTATGTGCTCCACTCTTTAAAATGTAATTTCACATCATTTTTGCATGCTTTGCCAGCCATGTATAAATGTATGCAAAGCTATATATAAAAGCTGTCTGTCATGCTTATTGTTGTAGGCGCACGTGTGCCTTTGTGTGCAGTGAGGTTTCTTTGTTTCATATATATATACACACACACACACACACATATTTATATATATATATATAAATCCTGTGTTGTGTTTGTTTGCCTAAAACATCAGTGAGAAGTAGGTCTTTAATCCTCAGTTTGATATATATCTTTTATAAAAATGTAGCCGTTTGCGTGGCCCATTAGTGCACTCCTTCACTCATTCAATTTTTGTCGTAATGCGATATACTAGCAAAGAGTCAATCAAAGAGAGAGTTTGTCTTCTGCTGCAGCCCTTACAGCAGAATAAACCTTTGAAAATGCAGCCGAACAATTGTTAAAACAGCTAGAAGAGTTGCAGGTGTAAATCCAACTACATGGATTTAATGTGTGCACCTTTCTTGTGCCTTTCTCTTTGTTGGCTTTTCTGAATTCATGCTTGTTAATCAAAAAAATGTTGCAAAGCCCTGCTGTAGATAAAATTGCTTTGTAATGTCTTAATCCCCCTCCCCCTCTAAGCTGTCAGCGAGCATGTAAATTTAGAAGGTAAAACGCTCAGTGTATATATATGTGTGTGTGTGTGTGAGAGAGAGAGAGATGAGGGCTGTGAAGATGAATTTAGAATTCCTTGAAAATGTTAGCCAATTCCTTCCTTCCTTGGACCGATGTGCAGATAAAAGGGCTGAAGCGGATGAAGTGTTAACCGCAGCCTTGCCACTAAGCACACTTGCACAACCCGACGCAGCAGAAACAACAGACCCACACAGAAGCTACACGCACTACACACAAGAGAGGAAACAGATCTGTTTGTGCTTGCGAACAAATTCACACCACCAGCCCAAAACACTGGCCTACTCAATCGAACGAGTAGTACGCTGAGACCCCAAAAGCACCACGAGTTACTGACACACTCACCGCTTTCTTGTTCTTCTTTTTGGTGCCGCGGGGCTTCTTGGTCTTTTCAATGACGCCGTAGAGCGCGAAACACAGGCGGCTCATGCGGGGCAGGTCGGCCACGTTTATGTCAAACTCCAGCTTCTGATTCCACAGCGGCTCGGAGCTCACTGTCACCTCCGAGCTCGTCACCACCTTACAGAGCAGCTCGCTGCCATGGAACAGACCAGCCTGCACTACAAGCTGCAGGGGAACCACAGATACACAGTAGTGATTAGATGGAGGCAAGACATGTGGTTTGGAAGCCGAAGACTTTAGCACTTTAGTGTGAAGGTGATTGTTTGTGGAAGATTTACAGACTTCACGAGATGATTCAGAGTTTCCTGTGTAATTCGAGCTATGAGTCAAAGAGTTTACACATTCGTAAGCGCAAACAGGTCTCCGTGCAGAGTCAGACACAAATGAAAAAACAACCGCCAGAGACGTAATTTAATACTGCACGACCATTAAGCTCCTGCCTTTCGCCAAATCAAGATAGTCCGAATTAACATTTACAAAATATATGAGCTGATTTCCCCCTTTCCCTCCAGGGGATGTGTTTTCAAACCTCTGCTTGACATCCACAGACATGACTGATAATTATGCGGCAGGAAAAATTAGTCATGAGTCATGATGCTCTAAGGCAGCAGCACCCAGGAGTGCACTTGCACTTAATAACCCATCCAAACAGTAATGTAGTTAGTTATGAAACAGAATTACAAAGACAGACACACATTAACAGAGTTCCCACTCTTTCTTTCACTCTTTCTTCTGACACGGAAGGGTGAGCATGGAGTATCAGCGGATGTTTCCACATCCTTTGGCTGTTCTCGTACGCTCACTGACAGTTGTCAAATTTTGAGATAGGTCAGGAGCCCGTCTGCAATAGTAACATGCAACGCCTTCAAAAAAAGAAGTGCATTTGAAAGCGAAAGAGGGAGAGCATGTAGTCTGTCTTTTTTCTTAGAATCTAGGCCTCAGAATGAGACGTAAAAACCAGATAGACACTCCCCACTTCCTGTTTTGAAGTTTTAACCAACCGCCTTGATGAATTATGGGAAATGTGTGGTCTGTACCATGTGACCCCCCTTGTCATTTACATGTCAGCCCCGCTGTTCCTACAACTGAAATTGAGATATTGGTAAACAAGTGAATGCCACATTTCATTGAGCAGCAAAGTGAGAGAAAACCCACGCAAAACCACACCGACCTTCATTCCCTCGTCTGCATTGACTCGTTTGCCTTGCACCAGGTGAATGTGGAAAGGCTCATTGATGGACCACAGAGAGGAGGTGTTTTGCTGTAGGAAGAAGTCAGAGGAAAAAAGGGAATTTAATTTCTCACTGCCTTGCATTCACACGGTTGCTCCAATTTCCTGTTTGGCCACAACTCAAAAAAACGAAAAGAGGGTAGACGCAAAGTAACATCTACTTTCAAAAGAAAGTTGGGGGGGGGGGACTTTCTAACTGAAGACAACTGCCAAAAGATTTTTAGCTGCTTATCTGACGAGCTTCAGATAAACGTTTCAAAACATTATAAAACGATATTTTTTATTATGCTAAAGCAGTTCCAACGTATGCTGCATGCGCAACTACAGCAAATGAAAGACAAGCCGTCAGATGTAAATTATCTACACCGAGCTGCGTGGCTTATTTCAAGTGTGCCAAAGTCCGCAGGCTAGTCGAGTAACAACTGCAAGAAAAGAGAAAAGGGGGAAAACAAGAGCATGTGCTCCTCTTTTAATGAACGACAGCTACCGCCTGACCTCTTACCTTCTTCAGTGGCAGAGGAGGAGGTCTGGATAAGGAGCGACTCTTGTACACCTGGTTGCACATTCTGCCCTGCTCCTCCTGACATTTGGTGACGGTGGAGTAGTGCACCATGGTGAGGTGGGGGTTCTGGCTATTTCTCAAGCACGAGAAGATGTACTGAGGAGAGAGACAACAGAAGATTTACTGGCACAGCCATCAGTCAGTTCACCCACAGATATTTCCCAGTGTTCTGATAGCGCTGGTTAGCTCCTGAAGGCTGTTCATTTGCTGTAGGTTAATGCAGCTCAAATCTCATTATGTGTGGATGGATGCAGTTCCTTTCTGCAGGGCTGCTATACAGATATGAGTCACCCCTGCAGGTAGTTGGAGTTTCAAAATCAACAGTGGAGTCTCCGGCCACCAAAATCTTGACTTAGCCTACTCCTAACCGACAGTCATTTCAGTTATTATGGACCCACCTGCACAGGCTGAACGCAGACAAACGACACTAAACAGAAACTCGCACACATTCACAGAGAAAACAACAGCTTGTCTAGAATATAGAGAATGCAATTCACAGTTTCAACAAAGATCAGCAGAGAAAGTCCAACTTTTCACAGTTCGTTTTTCAGTTTGTGAATAAATAGATAAACCTTCATCTTAAAGGCGCTGTGGGTTAATATGTCAAAGAGCATGTGTATTTTTTTTTTTTAAAGACGGATGCTGATATGAAATAAATTAGGTAGAATAGTTCATACTGAGTCTAGCACATGCCCACAGGAACGAGGAGGATAAAGGCCCCCTAGTTGCCCTCTGAAACACTTCTTTGTGGCAAAACAGAAAGAAAAATGACATCTGTGCTGATTATTTGTTAGCACATTTTTATGTCTCTCTGCAACTCGTCTAGAAGTGAAATACAAAAGCTATCATGGCAGAAAATGAGCCTGAAAGAAAATTGGACTCTTGAGAATTATCATCCAACAAAAACACAAACCCAAAATAAAATTTGACAAACCTACACAGGATTTGCCTCAAAGCCACAATACGAACATCTAAAATTTCCAGTCCAGAATTTGGGGAAAAAACAAAAATGGGACTGAGTCATTAAACCAACAAAACCAACTGTGAAAAAAGGGAAATAATTAAAGTGATAAAGTAAAAAAAAAAATTATATGCTGCATTTTCACACAATTTTCTGCTCCAAGAGTTTATTTTATTCGATTAACTCACTTTGAACTGACACAGTGGGTGTTTCCCATAGATGAAATCCCATCTCCCGTTGACCTGTAAGGTGTAGTCTTCAGGTTCCTGTCGCATTAAGCGGAAAACGGTAGCCTTCTTCTTCAGAGCGCTCTTCATCAGAACCAAGGGGAGGTCATGAGGGTCCTGCTGTAGCATGAAGCTTTCCTGTAAGAGCAACAGACAACATCATTCAAATAAAGAGTACGGCTTTACAGAAAATCTTAAAATTGCTGCTTGTTCCTGAGTGTTGTTTTGAAGGTAGTGTTTATGGTGTGGGAGGGGGCTTTCCAAAGGTGATCACATTTACTTAAAATCACCTCCACAATGTGTCTGCACAAGGTGGAACCACAGTTTTTCCAATCAAAGCTACTTTGCTTTTTGCGGGTTCCCTGCTGCCCCATCATACCAGAACATTAGATTTGATTAGTTTGAACAAACTGGACTGTATGACTCATGACAACTTAAAAAAACAACAACTGATGAACTCACGTCAGAAGCCTCAAACTTGACATTAATGAAGATCTTCTTGCTGTTTTTTGTCTTGAGGCTCTGCGGCAGGGAGCAGCATGGCTCCAGTTCACATGGGAAGCTGTACTCCATCCACTTCTGCCAGGGCAGACTCTGTCGATCTTGAGCCTTTTCTTCGCAAAACGCCCTCATCTTGGTCCGAAACTCATTTACCTCGTCATTCTTCTGAGCTTCAAACTCATGCAGACCTGGAAAGTTGGTTAAAAAGTAAAAGGAGAACTTAGCTTATCATTTAATTAACTGAAACACGAAAAACTTTCAGATGAAGAAAACACAGAAAAGAAATTATGCCATCAGAATAGCAAATTTTCACTGACTAAATCTATAAGAAACATAGGCTAAAATGTAACAATGCTATTAGCCACGTTTAGCTTTAAGTCTGTATATTTGAAAACTTTATCCCTGAATTTTTCAAAAGCTAATTACATGTAAAATATAAGTGGAATCATATTATAACTATCTAAAGAATAATTATCATTACACTCATAATATATTCAGAATACATGAGAATATAAGGGGGGTTGCTAAACAAATAAATTAGCTTTAGCTAGTTAGCCTAGCCGAGCCCTACTTTTTCAGGTTAGCTACATTAGCTTATAGTATCTTTGGTTAATTCACAGAATCATTATTTTTAATTACTGTGAACCTACTGTAAAAACCAGAAATTCCTACAGCAGTGAAAAAACAAGAAGGCTTCTGTCATTTAATGATTACTTTTGTGTAATATGAATGGCAATGGCTGTAAAATCTATATCTCAAATTTAAACCTTTACATTTTTCAAAGCTGTGAAGCGGGCCAGATTGAAATCTCTGCTGGTCAGATTTTGGCCCCTAGGCTTTATATTTGACATTATTGGCTTATAGCTAACCAGCAACCTGCTTTACTTGTAAAAAAAAAAGAAAAAAAAAAAAAAAAGACGATTAGCATCGTGGATATACGGTAACTCAGAAAGAAAATGCTTTTTTGTTAATAGTTCCTTCTTTTGAGCAAAGTGTTATTCTGCTAACTTTCTAGTCTCCGAAAAATAAGAATACTTTTGTTCCAATTAGCATTTTAACTCTGCCAAACCAAGGCTTCAAAACTACAACCACAGCAACTTTTCATCAGTTCTCATGCTGTAAGTGTGCTGTGGCGCTTGTTGCAGGGGTCTGGATCAACAACTGAGCAAAAGAAGACATTTTTGTGGCACTAAGAACATAACACAGCCACAGTAATGGTGACAAGTGGAGGAGATCAAAGCTGCTGTGCAAACATTAAGACGTTATCTGGATGAGTGTTGCAAGTCAGAAACTCTCATTTCATTTCTCTTTTTTAAATGCATACAGTCACTTGTTCTGTCTGACTCTGAGAAATCTAGTAGACTGGGCAGTAATTCAGGGGACTCGAGCCAGACTGGAATATCTCTATAGCTTAATGACAAGAACTCTTCTCTGTAATCATGACTGATTTAATCTCATAGAACAGTACCACAAACCCTTAAAAGCAAACAACAAAAAAACAAACAAAAAAACCCCTCTATAGACACTGCAGAGGCCCACCTTTGCCAATTAACAGGCTGATTTGGGCATTGGTGAGTTTCTCCACCCGGTCGCCCTCCCTCGCCACCAGCCTCAGAACACACATGAAGGGCCGCACATCACTTATGCGCCTCGATTCTTCCTCCAGCTCTTCCCTTTCCGCCGTCTCGTTGATGCAGGTGAAGACGTATCCATCAGGATCGCCGAGTCCACAGAACAGGGCCTCACTTCTCGCATTTTTCCAAACCATCTGAAATAAGAGACAAGAGGGATAAATGAACACAAGAGCCCCAGTTTTGATGAGCTGCCATGCCCAGTTTTCATGAGAAAAAAAAAAACAAGACTGTCCAGTTACTGTTTTCAAAATTAAAACAAAAGCAAATGATCCTCTGATTAATCTAATGAGCTGAAATAAAGCAAGAAAATCATTGTTTCTAAAGCTTTCCTAAAATTTCTGGTGAATTAGCAATGACTGGAGGGCTATTTCATCTATTAATCATCCTAACAGCATCCATGAGTATCATTACCTAACGCAGCTAAATCAAACAGCCCGTAGTGGCAGAAGTGTTGGCCCGTTCAGCAGCACGTTCACATTTTAACAGCAGATCTGCTTCGGCAGAGTGCTGGCTGTGTTTCCCAGGGAGGAAAGCTGCAAGCTCCCTCTCTGTCGGAAGCATCAGAACCGGGGAGCATTGTCTGAGCGGGGGCTGCGTTTTAATTAGTTTAATGTCTGAAGAAAACATTAAGTCAACCAATTTGTTTAAAAGCGTATTATTGTGACTGACAACAAGATTTTGCAGTCTGAGCGTCTGAGCTGTTATGCTGCAGTCAATCAATTACAGTCTCCTGGAAATACAGTGCTCTCTAATAATAGACGCAACGTGTGATTACATTACACATCCACATATCAGTGAGGAGTTGAGGTTTCAGAGACCCTTTTAAAAGCAGATGCCGATGCATGTGAGCGTTGGGTTGGGGTGGGAGGGACACTGTACCTTTTTGATGCTTTTGATGGTGTCGTTTCGAGACACGGGGAATTTGAGGAAGATCCCAGTAGGCAGCAGGAAGTCCATGTTGATCGCCTGGTCCCCCTCCTTCTCCCACTCCTCCTGCATCCCATACTTCCCTGGGGGCATGGTGACGGCCTCTCATTTACTGCCAGCTCCTCTGCTGCTCACCAGAACACGAGCCGGCTGTCCACACACAGAGCAAGCACAGCCGGGGTTAATATGTCCACTATTAACAAGTGTCCCTGCATGAGCTGTCTGCTGTTTGTTCCCAAAACACTGGATAATGCATCTTTAAGAGGTTGTAGTTGAAAAAGGAAGAGGACGTGCAGGTTGTAAATAACGTGAATGAATGGTAGCTTATTGAAGGGCCTGGCCTGCACCTGATCCCCTTCCTCCTGATGGTGATATAAGAGCACACAGATATTTAAAAAAAAAAAAAGATTAAGACGACCTGAGTGTTTACTACGTGCAGTTCTGCCTTTAATGATCAAAAGGAAATATTCAAGGGTCAAATCAGGTGAAACGGCGCTTAAAGAAACTTCAGCTTTCTGGTACATCTGCTGAATAAAATGCAAATCAGAAAAATGGAAATGTGCTTCTGCTTCCCGCAAATGTAACGAAGTGTGTGTGCAACGAGAACAAGTAGGGTTTGCAACGTAAAGTAATTCTACACTATTGATTTTCTTTGGTAAGAGGAAACTTGCGCTGTGTGCGCTGCATGTGAATAACAGATGTAGGCTGACTTGTGCCCACAGCCTAAACAATGATAAATAAATAAATGTTAAGCTTTTAAAATGAAGCTCACAGGACCGGATGGATGTCAGATACGCTGTGATATATCTGTATATTTTGAAATGAAAGGCTAGAATGGAAATAAAAAGATACGGCGCATCCAATCCAACACGCAAACGTGACGTTGCGCCGTTGTCAGTAAAACTTGTGTCATGGCGAAAGCCTTGCCAACCTGTTAGCGCACACACTTGCCTGTCAGCTCTAGAACCCGGTCATCTCTTCATGGCTTTTCCCTCTTTTCCCCCCGTCTTCTTCTTTTTGTTGTTTTTTATCGCAGTGAAGATGGAAGACGGAACATCACGGAGACGTGGGTCGCTCAGATCCGGCGGCTGCAGGATCTATCCGTAAGGAGGAGATGAGCAGGGTGAGGTGCTGTAAATCCGAGCGCTCGTACGGCTCCTGTGAAGCAGCGGAGTGCCTCCCTGCCTCGGTGCTGTGCGCTGTCAATCAGTGGGGCGCTGATGTTGCGCTGACCCTGACGGATGAGCGGCTGCGCGCTGCCTCACCAGCTCTCTCGCTCTCTCTCTCTCTCTGCGCGCGGGCCAAGGGACCGTCCGCCAAAAGTTTGCGCGAAGTGAAAGTACACCGCTCTCTCCACCTCCCGCCCTCCTCCTGTCTTAGGTGATGTATGTAGGAGACTTTAAAAAAATATTTCAAGCTAAAGAATGAAACAATTAGCTAAAACCAATTTATAAGAATTTAAGTAGAAGCCAAATTAGTCGCAAGCAGGTATGAGGGCATGTTTGGTGTCTGAAAAGTGAGTCACTTTCTGGAACTTTCACGCTATTAACGCTGATTTAATTTCCGTATACAGGCAGCAGGGGAGCACCTGCGTGAGTAATATATATTATATATAATATTATAATATATATATTAATTATACCATAATATATATATATTTATATATATATATATATATATATATATATATATGTACTGTTACGTTCTGGTCCCGGCAAGTAAATAAACGTAACAAATAGTTGTCACACGTGACTACAAAGGCAACGTGGGATTTGGAAGGTAGCGGTGTAGTGGTGGAAATCTTTCAAAGTAGCAATACCACAATGTGGATACACAAAATGATCCCCCCCCTCCTGAGGGGAAATATTTGAAAATCTTGTGAGGGATGCAACATTTGGCTTGTTTCATTCATGAATGAGTGACATGAACGAGACATATTTTTGAGTAATAGGGACATAGTTTGTAAGCTGATGCTTTAATTTCAATGATGGTATAGAAGTTAAAGAGCAGTCCAATGCAACCTTTTTGGCTTTAAGGAGAAAAAAACAGTCTCACTTATTCTATAGACAAACTAATTAATCAGTTATTCATGTAATAAATCTTTAGATTAATGAATGAAATCATCATTTTGCCTCTTGATTTGGCAACATCATCAAATTAGGAAAGTTTTGCCAACCTTTCAGTGAGGGTAATAAAACATAAGTAATTTATTAAATGAACAAAGATAAATTTAAGTAGGTTATTTCCTCTTTTGATTTCCTTCCACTTTTGCGAGTTTCACGAGACAAAATAGATCAGACGAGGCTTTTAGTTTTTGGAATTCACACAGAGTTTAATTCAGTACATTCCCAGTTATTTATGTCTGAATTTATAGCTGCAAATAAATGTAAAGAAGCAGATATTTTGTGGGGGAGGAAAGACAGTAGATTCCAGCTGGCAGCCAGTCAAACATCTTAAATAACAAAATTAATCGTGTTTCTTCAGACAATTTTTTTCTTCTTCTTGAAATGTTGCCGTCTTCTGTCAAAGTGAAAATCTTGCTGGGAAGCCTGCCTTCCTGTTTTCTTATATCTGTTTAAGACTATTTGTACTTAAGCTTTACCACAATCAGTGAACAAAGACACCGCGCTCATCATGGAAGTGGATCCCGAACCACGGCGGTTGTACTACCATAGAAAGGGGAAATGCAGGGGCCAAAAACAACAGCAGCGTGACTTTACAACTGTTCACTAACTAACATTAGCAAACAGACAAAACAGGTTTTTCTTTTCTCTGAATTCTGTGCCAGACTTTTTCTTAGCAAGTCACATAACATGCAAATAAATAGATGATCTCAGTTGTGTTTGTTCAGTTTGGTTTGCAGGTGTTGATATTTCTGAGTTGTGGTCTGGTGCTGCTAGATACGTTGGCTTCCTGTTTAATGAGAGGCTACTGTCTTGAGCACTCAAGAGCTACAAGATTCTGATCGGTATTTAGAGAACACACACAAATATGTGTTTGTGAGTTCACCTCAGACCAGCTGGTAAACCCCCCCCAAAAAACAACAAAAAAACAGGAAGTGATTGTGCAGAAGAGAAACTGTTTGGCCAGATCGGCAGACTGAAAGCATGAATGCTTCCCACCCTTTGCCCCGAACGGAACTATTTTTCAACTACGAGCCAGAAAAACCCCTCGACAGTAAACAAGCTGCAGAGCTGAATCTCGTAGCTGCCTGATAAATGCGCTATTCATCTCAAATCTGATGGCAACTCAAGATTAAACTCAAATTAAGAAAACATTAGAGTTACAGTTTCGATAAAACTGAAAGTATAGCCGTTAATCAGGCAGTCCAACACATGGCACAATAAAAAAACAACAAAAAAACACCAACAAAGTTTAGACAGGAAACTTTTACAGTCATCATATAAACACATGTAGTTTGATCACGTGATGTTCAGACGTGTGTGCCTTGTTTACCGTCTTTAAGCTTACCCACAGTTCTGTGGTGCATCAGGAAAAGGGTCTTGACTTCCTTTCTGTGCGTTCTTAAGAGCTCGTGCTTCTTTTTTTATTCATGTGCTTTTTCTCTTATTGTCCCTCGACTTTCTTTCTTAATGGGTTGTGTAATATACGACAGAGCAAAGTGGCTTGTCAGTACTATCAGGTCCCCATTTCTGTGGTTCAGAGAAAGCCGCTGTTTAACATCGGTTTGGCTCATTTATGTGACAGAAATCCCCACCAGTTTCACATTCAGGTAGAAAATGAAAGTTTTCTTCTTTTTTTTCAATCCACTAGAGAAGTCTATCACCTAGATGTGATTAAAATGTAATAAAATGTGCTGAAAAGGAGTCGTGTTTTCCAGCTGGCATAATTTAGCACATTTGGTTTTGAGTTCACCCACGTTAAAGCAGGTTGTTCGCCGTCTAGTCACGATACTCAGAGCTTCTTTGCATCACTTTGACTCATAAGATTCCCCACATGGTTTTACAGTCTGCAGCCAAAACTCTGCTGCTGCCCTTAAAGATCATCTCACGTGAGGTCAGACACAGATGAAAAGAGATTTAAATGCTACCTGTGAGTTTCGTGACTTCTCCAGACACCCAATGTAGTTTTTGTGGAACTAAAATTGAGTAAGAGATGAGAAGAGATTTGAAGATGAGCCCAGTTTGGTTGCAATAGAGTAAAACATTTTAAAAAGAAGCAGAAAGAAGAGGAAACCTTACATTAAGGGTGTTGTATTTGGTATATACATTTTAATTCAATTGATTTATTTAAAGGGAACAGTGCATATTAATGAACAACATGTCACTTTTCACCTGCAATCCCTGCCAGGTCAGAGCAAAAAAAATAAATAGGAAAGTTAACACAACATCAGACAGTGTACAGCAGTATGGTTCAGACAGCAATATGTAAAATTACAACATGAAAATTCACAGTACAAGAAGAAAACACATAACAACAAATAAATATAAAAACATACAGCATCAAAGATGACACATAAAATTAATGGTAACAGATCTGATTCCTCTTTAGCCAGTTCACTTGTTATAGCAGCACAAGACACAGGAAGAAAAGGTCAATTAGAGATATATTAAAAAATAGAAGCAGAAAAAAAGACAGAAAAAAAGCCAAAATACTATATTATGTGCACATGGTTACTATAGCTAGTAGTACATTTTTTTTTATTACAGCTGGAATTTTATTCCAAATATTATAATAATAAACATTATTTGGGGGTAGGGGATAGTTGAGAAATACTGATTAGTAAATAACTGGACATGAATACATGTACAAACAAAGGCAGCATAGCTCATGATAGCACTTTTTTTAGTTATCTGGAATAAAACAGGATCCAAATTGGATTGAATTAAATAAAGGTAAGCACAATAGCATCAGGAAACTCATCTTCTTGTTCTTTGGATGCAAACATATCTATTCGGTTTAGTTTAATTTAGTATTTTTCACTTGGTTAGCCCCACCTGCAGTTTCAAGGGGGCTTTTGATGCATGTATTTCACACCCTTTGCCGTGAAATTCATGCGGCGTGTCTGAATGATCTGAAAAAGAGGAAGCGTGCTGTGAAAGGATTGGACCTAAGATTAATCTTTGAGGGAGTGCACAGGGGATTCCAGCAAAGAGGATGAGAAACTGCTCTTGCTGACTGAAAATGTTCTGTCAGGCACTGTAGGGTAGACCCGCAGACCCCTACAGTCCGGTGCTTTGCAATTAATATAAGTCCAGAGAAGTGCTGTGTCACAGGAGAAAAACAGCAGCATTAGTAACTAAAATTAGATTTTAGTAATTTATAGAAGTTTCATTTCCTAAATCTACAAAATGTCTCAATATAATTGCAGTGACTCAAAGAAATGCATTTATTTCTAAAAGTGTCTGATCTAATGCAACCAGTCAGATTCTACCACACTGCTCTAGATGGAAAAGCTAAACATCTTAGCTCCAAGTGGAAGAACTGGCAATGACACTGTTGTACAGACATTTGAGTCGTCTGTTTCCCAGATTATTAATCTTACTAACCGCAGGGATCACCCGATTCTTCATCTCAGCTGGTGAAAATATTTCACTCTTCCAAAAATATTCAAAAACTGCAAATGTAATGCGATTCTCATCACCTCCACCTTACTTAAACTGCAGTGCTGCTTCTCATTTTAAGCATCATATCTGCAGAACATCAGCACATAATTAGTGATGAAGTCAGCATAACAAACTTCCAGTGTTTCACAGTTTAAATATGTTGACTTGCTTCTGCATGTAGCTTTTGATTGGATTTAAAATGATGAAGTCAGCTCAATGAAAAACTATATTACTTTCATTCATGTTTTCCATGGGATTAAGAAAGCATAACTTACAAATGATGAATTGAAATAACAAAATGTTGTGGGTAGTTTTGTGTTTGTTTAAAAAAAAAAAGTGAACATAGACAGTGGTGCAGGGAGGTTAAACTCCTTTCATATCACGGGTCATATATGACCCACTTTGAGATATGTTATTTAGAAAATGAAGTGCTATTACAACACAAAGATATCTGTCAAAACATCTATTTGGGCTTAAATTTTAAGAAGTAAATGTTTAAAATTACAGAAATCTATAACTTATTTATTTTGGTGTATTATAACTGGTCACTGGCGTCCAGATTGGAGTCTGGTCCCTGCTTAAGAGGTTTCATGTCGATTGCTTTCCTCTCACTCGTTCAGTAAGTAGAGTGAAAATGTACTTGTGAGTGATGCCAACTTCAATGCAAAATGGTTGAAGTTAATCAAAAAATATTGAATTTCTAAAATTCAAAAAGGAGAAAATATCACTTAAAAGATTTGAAACAAGTTTGCACAATTTAATTTGTTTGATTAATTCAGCATTCAGGTTTGTAGGGTCATGGTTGTTACAGAGGGTGCAATGAGCAATCTCGAACACGTTTGCCGTTTACATTTGCCGTATTTCACCATTTATTCTGAACAATGACTCAGTGTTAAGCTTAGGCTCCCTTCCTTAAGATGATAATGCGATTTATGAAGATTAAATGTGAGATGATGTGCAGAGAGGAAAAAACAAAATAACTTATCTCACGTTAACGCAGAATGGGTCGTCCATTCTCTGGAAAAAGGAAGAACCAAAAATAACATCAAAACTTAACTTGCAATGAAAGTGGAGAAAACAAAAGTGGAGGAGTACAGCTCAGGGCTTAAAGGGAAGGAAATAAAGAATTACACAGATGATGAATAATGAGATATGAAGATGGCTATTTCTGAACTTTGGACAAGAAAACAACACATTAAGATCAGAGCGCAAACATAATTCATGTTGTTATTATGTGCAAGTTATTTTAGAAAGAGTCATAAAGTTACCCATGATAGGTCAGAAAGATATAATGGCATGATTTATGGTATTATTTGGTCATAAATAATTATTTTTTTTATACCTAAAGCCTTTTTAGAACTAATAAAAAGAAAATGTTCTGATGAAAAGAAGTATATAGTGGCTCTATAATGTAAGGGTACACACACATTTACCTCAAAAACAAAAGATCCCAACCCACCATGGTTATAGTGGAGTGAATTTGTGGCTATAAAATCGAAGTTTCCCTCCTACAAGACTCTTTCCTTCACCCTTGACCGCTGCCTGCAGTCCACTTACAGTTAATCTCTCATCAGCTGTGTAAATTCAGCTTTTCATTGCCATAGCAACCCTTAAAGATAATCATATGTTTTAACACTTCAGTGCAAGCTTCAGTTTGCTGAGGCAGGCCAGAGATCAGAATATTTAAAGACTCAGACAATGCCTAACAGTGCCAGAAGGGGGCGAGCTTAAGGTAGGCTAAGGCACAACATTTGGAAGCACACTGAACACAAGTTTCAATCATGGTCCCATGTGTATAAAATGGAGCAGCTAGGTATGCAGAATATTTTCTCAAACTGTGGAGAGGTTTGGAGATGCCCCTTCCTGTTCCAACATGACCACCATCACTGCACAAAGCAAGGTCTATAAAGACACAGATGAGCAAGTCTGGCTTGACTGGCCTGCACAGAGTCCTGACCCCAACCCGACACAACACCTTTAAGTTGAATTGAAGTGAAGGCAGCGAGCCGGGTTTTCTCATCCAACGTCAAAAATCCCTATAACACACTCCTGAACTTTATGGAAAGCTTTTCCTATGGATTGAGAAAGGCACTTCACTCAAGTTCATATATGTGTGTGTGTGTGTGAAGGCAGATGAGCTAATATCTTTTGGCAATATTTTGTAACATCTGTTTTGATAGAGCAGGTGTAATTACACAGAGGTAATTAGGGAAAGATTTTTGTTTATTTATTTAAAAAAAAAAAAAAAAAAAAAAAGCACAGGTCCACATGAAACCACTGTTGTTCCACAATTACAGATCAAACGTGTTGCTTAGTACAAGGGAATAACAACTAGACAACCTCTGATTTTAAAAACTGATGACGTAGGCTGCGAAACAAAACAGTTCAGTTCAAATACATGTTCAAACAAACTGACTTTCAAGTGAATAAAAATAATGATAGCTTGTCCATTCCAGAGAAAATTAACTGGGATTTAAGAAAGCATCAAGATTTTAGCACATTTCATACTTTTTCAATGACTGAGTCAATTTAGAGTCAGGAAAAAAAGAAAAAGTCAAGCACAAATATCTGCATACAACACTGAATGATTAAAATGAACACTACAAATCATTAGAAAGCTGTCCATTGATAGTTTTCTACAACTATTGCCAGACAAATGTAATAATTTATAACTTTGGTTCAAAGTAACTTTGCATAAACCAATAAGTAAACTTAATATTGCAACAAAGTCAAATTACTCACTTAATAATTCAATAATCACCTGAACAGAACAAAATCTTTCCAAATTTCATACGATTTTTGTTTTGCATCACATGCAAAAGAAACACAAACCTATTTAATTGCAGCTTGCGAGTCTAAAAATGCACAAGTTTTCTGAGAATCGGTTGATTAACATGCACACAAATAACAATCAAACATCCGTGCTCTCAATTTCAAACAATTTTTAAAGTAGAACACGTCCGCCAATTCAGAAAAACAAGTGCAAAAATATTTCCAATCTGTAATAACGTACATGCTTGACTATGAGTAATAACAAAAGTAACGTATAAATTAGTTCACAGCTGAGTTGGCAGGAAAACTTCCCTCTCTGCGGCTTGCTTGTGCAGACAGAGAGACAGCAAACATAATTTCTTCCATATACTGGAAATGTTTTATTTTTATTTTTAAACCACACTTGACCTTAGGCGCTGTCACACTTACAAACTTGCTTATGAATAGCTTTACAGTAAGAAAGAACCGAAACTGAATCGCTTTGGTGAGAACCCTTTTTGTAGTGAACTGCTGAGAAATGTTTATGAGATGGAAATGTTAGGAATTATTTTGACCCTAAATAGGCCAACAATAACGGAGCACCACTTTTTACTTTCCTCAGCTGACATGTAATGGCACCAGCACAAATACCAATAAAACAAAACCTAAACCACAAGAAAACATGTCGCTTAACATTTACCAGTTTCTGGCTGCTGTAGAGATCCAGCGATGTTCAGTTGAGGGAGGTAATGCACTCGGTCAGTGTAAGTAGGTAAGACGCGACTTTGTGCCCAAGCAGCGTCGACTGAACAGTACATGTTTATTGCACAATTCACAGCGCAGGTTTTAAAAAGCCATCAGTGCAATTTCATCTTTTTTTTGTTTTTTGCCCCTTCTTATCATTTGCACCTGTCTGTGTGTAAGAGGAGCAGTGATCAAAAGGCAAAAACAAAACCCATTTCACGTTTGAGCACTAATGACTCACAAATATAAGATCTGATTTTACTGCACAGTTCTTCTGACATCTGCAATTTGCATCGGCAAACAGTAGGTAAAGCACCAGAGAGGTGATATTTTCTTGCACTGCTGTATGTCCTCTCGTTGCACAGGAAAAACAGGTTAGTCAAGGGGCCAGAGGCACACTTGCTCTGTACGGGGCAGCAGCAGCAGCTCTGTCGACACTCATCTCCAGTTGTTGTACATGTAGAGGCAGCCGAAGAACAGGTTGGCAGTCAGGCTTGCAAACAGAAGCCCCGGCCATATGAGACGCTTCGCAAAATCTGGAGAGAAAAGGCAAACGTGAGCCATGAGCCCTATCATCAAACCACCTCATCTGGTTTTACATTTTGTGTCTGCGTCACAAAATACTTTCCCCCCTCCTTTAAATCAGAACAAATAGAGAAGAAGTTACAGAAACTACAATCAAGTTCATTGAATTGATTTTAATGAAGCAAAGACCCACAGGTAGCTGTGTGGTAGCAGTGTTCTTAATATTCTGTCCCTCATACATGGGATGCTGCATTAGTTCCCGTCACTTAAACTGAAATTGCTTTAAGAGGAAATCTGTTTGCAGTCACTGTAGAGATCTGCAGAGATCAAAAGCAGCTTCAAATGATACACACAGACATTCTCATGTATCAGCCCAAGCAGACTGAAATCTTTTAAAACCCAGTTAGCCAACAGGCATGATACAAATATTAAATTTTCTGACATAGATACATCCATCTCCCTGCAGGGTTGAAATCAAACTGCTTACCTTTTGGAGAACGCCTGCCCTCTGGACACTGAGTTGTAGTACCGACCAGGCAAGCAGAAGAACCTGAGGAGCTGCTTCGCTTCTCTTCCTCTTCAATCACACTATCGTCTCTTAACAAGGAGCTCAAATCTGCAAGGCCAATCAGGTAAAATCATTAAACCACAAACCAAACCATCTAAACATGTTCACAAGTTGATTTGTTTCATTGTGTAGTGGATTTGGACCCCCCAAAAAAAGTTTATATTGCCACCTGGTGGTAGTTTCAGGAATAACAGACAAACAAAATAAGAAATATTGCCAGAAGTCTTCCTATAACAGTCAGCCTTATGTATACTTGCCATTTTGACTTTGAAAGGGTGACACATCGGGTGAAAAGCAGCCGCTGTAAACCGAAGGGGTCGGCTCAGACAGGAGATGTGATGGAGACGCAGGTGGGAACATGAGCGTGGGTTCTGGCTCTGCTGAGAAAAGCCGGAGTCTCTGGCCACCAATGTTGAGACGAGCGGGGCTGATGAGGGGACGCCGTTGTCTGGCAGAACCTGAACTGGATGTAACAGAACCAGCTACCGAAGGAGCTGGGGAGGGACCCGGGGATGATGGGCGGCTCCCAGACTTGAGCGAAAAGTAGTCTGTGCCACAAACGAGAGCGGTGAAAAATGTTTTCACTAAGCAACGTCTTAGTGAAAAAAGCACTGAGCTGTTGCTTACAATGAAAAACTGAACAGAGGTCACAGAATCGCCAGGACTTTCAATACCTGAAGATTGTGAATCTTTGTACTGTGAGGCTGGTCTGCTTCCACTAAACAGGTAACCAGAATCTGAAAATTAAAAAATAAATAAATGAATAAAACTTTTCACCACAAACTGATGTTTTCACTTAAACCTGCATCAGCATTTCTCATAAACCTAAAACTACACAACTTCATGCTGAGACTCAGGTTTTAGTTTATCACATTCAAAGAAAAATTGATAGTCTTCACAATAAAAATGCACAATATTAGTAAATAATTAGTGACAAATCTGTCAGATTAAGCAGCTGCAAATGGGCCACGACTGCTCCTAAAACATACGCTTTACACTGCAAACACACATTTTTTAATGTTTGCATTTTAAATAAAATTGAGAAATTTAAGCACAGATGTGCCAGAGATTTCTGAAAAATCCTGTCTCCATTGCATAGTATCTAAAAAAATAATGTATATTTATGCAAACACTTCAGCATAAATGACCTAAATGACCTCTTGGTAAGAAGTGCAGATACTGTAGATACGTTTGTGTAAGCAGAGGCAATATTTCAGCTGATATTCCATAAAAACTGAGCTACGTAATTAGAAACCTCATGAGCATGCAAAGTGCTACAGTGTAACTGACTGTAAAAACAAACAATTCCAAATACTAAACCCAACCTACACCTGAAGCTACTTGATTAATTTGCACAAATGTGTCGGCTCCCTTTGCTGAAATGTTATTTTTTGAGCCGTTAGACCACAGATAAACGTCAACAAGCCATTAGAAGGATTACACAGAAATATCTGTCAGCACGAGCACAAACTGAAAGGAAAAACATCCCGCGCTACCTGTCCTGGTGAGGGAGGGCATGGTGCCGAGGCACAGGGCTCTGTTGAGACGCCCGGGCAGAGAGGAGGGGGAAGCCTTCCGCTCGTGACGACCGTGGTGGCGGTTGATGAGCTGGGAGAGGTTAGGGGGCGGAGTGGGGATGAAAGTGTCCGCCACATCGGTGGAGCTCAAAGGAGGGACTGTGGCGCTTCCTGCAAGGTATCTGCAACACAAGAGCAGCGGAATGGTCTACTACCTGAAATTAAAGTTGTAACACAGCAGCAAAAACATACAAATACTTACATACAGAAAGTCTAACATAATACTTCTGAGGAGAGGAAATTGGGTACTGATAGAGCAAATAGTGTAAACACAATTAAGAATTTTACCTGCTTACCACAATTAAACATATGCTGATTTAAAGACCAAGTGCGAGAAGAAAACTGGGGACAAACTTAGAAATGAGCTCTGACAACCCCTTAATGTCAGCACTAATGGAGGCAGGCTACGACAAGGCTGTCGCTGAAACGCTGCAGCAGCTGTGTGACAGCACGCAGCAGCTGACGGGGAGAGACGAGAGAAACGCTTCACACACTCATGGGTCCACACAGAGCAGCGACATAAAGCTTCTTTGTATAATCAGGTCACTTCTGATTATTTCCACTGCCTCCAAAGTTGAGTAATAAAGTTTTACAGACTGGAAAGAGACATGCAGAAGGAGACAGGATGCTGGTGGAAAAACAAGCAGAAGACAATTCCTTTTATCAGTCGTTTATTATATTCCATGTACAGCAAGCATTACCACAAAGCCTCCGAAATGGAGCACATCATTAAAAGCAAGATACCCAAATGAACCATTTAAGCACCCAAAACGCAAAGTGTTTCATCGAGCATGTTGCAGGAAACCTTTGAGCAGGGATGGAGCTCCTTTCTGAGGCTGTTACAGGATATATAAACACATCGTCTGTGATCAAACTGTGATAAACTGTAAAAAAGTATCAAGATTTTGCATAACAACGGGTCCTTTTTTTAAAAAGTACCAAGTGTTTCTCCAACAGACGCTACTAAAATATTTAGATAAACATACTTGGGATAAATAGTAACAGTAGTATAATAATGAAGTACAATAATTTGTCACATATAGTAGCTTAAACCTACAGTTAACACTTTGAACATAGTGCTTCTAGAGCTAGACACTTGACACAAAGAGGTCTACAGTCATACAGCTCATCAGGTAGAAACAGGAGTTCTCTGAAAAAAAAACCACGCAGAAATAGAAACACTCAAACCAGACATTATGCAAATATCATTTAAAAAACATGCAAACCAAACGGTAAAAATACTTTCTTTCTTACCCTTAGTACACACAATGGTCCAAATACAGGGTGTAGCAAGACGAATCATTCAGTTTCAAAAGGATTTATTTATTTATCGTTTTAAATATTGGACATAAAAGCTTGTGGTAAATTTTAAACTACATGGCTGAATATAATTTTTTTTTTTACATACAATGTTGTCCTTAATTTGGCCCCCCTCTGGACGCATGGCACGTGTCCAAACGATAGTCAAACTCCCATATTTGTATGAGCATGTCTGGGGCCACTGCAGCTGCTGGTGCTACCAGCGACCGCATTAAAACCGACAAGCCCCGTCTTTTTAACGGTATGCGTTTCGGCCGTTATCGGTGAACGGCTGCAGGATTAAAGCGCTTTGAATTCGTGATGGTTCTTTTTGATACACCCTGTACGTCACACAACTAACCAATACAGCTTGCTTTGTTCTGTGATGAACGTTACTTTTGAGTTTAAGATGCAGTTTGTCACATGTGGCAGTTCAAAAAACAAAACAAAAAAAGCCTTCAAGTCGTTAGCAATTAACGTCACAGTATAAACAGCCAGTATGACCTTTTTTTTTCTTCTTTTTAAAAACTGCGGCACTATACAGCATTGCGTTGTGCTTTTTTGATGTATATCAGGTGTGAAAAGTCACACAAGTTCATAACTTGATCAATCATCTACCATCTTAGACTCAAAGCATGTGAAGTCTACTACAGCACAGGCGCTGGTTTGACAACATAAATCTCTCAACAGAACAGCGCAACACAGTTTAAACCCCACAGTTACAACACTACAAAACTGATGAGCAATCACAATCTAAGCACCTTGTCTCCCATTATTTTGTAACACCTTCTCACATCAGAGTAAAATAAATACCCCCTACATCCAACACAAGTAAAACATAACTATGAAACTCAAATAAACAAGTTAGATGAAATGTTAGCACGTGCACTTAAAACGGTCATTAGTGTTTATCACATATCAACTTGTTAAAATACTGGCAAAGGTAGCATTAGTTATAATGGAAGCTAATACGGTTGTGAGTGCTGTAAGGTCGTCATTTTAGCTGTAAATCGCCTCATTTAGAGTTTGTGCAGGACAATTTAAGATTGATCCTGAGAAAAGACTCCAAGATGTTGCTGAGTGGAGCACCGATTAAAAATGAAGGGGGGGCACCAGGAACTGATGCTTACACAAGATACCTCAAATGCTGAAACAAGCCAAGTATCTGTCAGGTAGTCACCTACAGGCTATTTTGAACTTGAGTTTTGAGCCCACAGCTAAAAGCATCAAAATATGACACAAAGAAGTACACATAAATACTCTCCAAAACCTTTGAACACTTTGCATATGTAGATCTTTATCATGCTGCACCATCAGAGAGGCCTCTGATGGGCTCTGATCATTCCTCAATGTCACAATGAGCCCAAACATACAGCCGGATACACACATACACAAACCTGTTCAACGGTCTGGGTATTTCAGAAACTGCTAATATACTGGGATATTCCAATATAACCATTACAGAGAATGGTGTGAAAAAGAAAATGCCCAGTGAGTGCCAGGTCTCTGGGTGAAAAAGCTTTGTTGAACCCCAGAAATTAGAGATCAATGACCATAATTCTTCAAGCTGATAGGAAGGGAGCAGCGACCAAAACAACAATTTGTTAAAACCAAGGTATGTAGAAGAGCATCTCTAAATGCAAAGCCCACTGAACCTTGAAGCAGATGGGCTACAGCATCGCTGATCTCCAACAGCTAAGAACCGTAAACTGAGGCTACGATTCGCATGGGCTCACTTTTTTGGTACCTACTTGACCAGTATTCCAAGCGACCAGGGTTCTGAGGCGATCTGAAAATGTGATTTCAACAGACTGCATACCACTTATCAGCTAGTCAGTGGTGTCACATGATGAGTCAGGAGAGAATCTCCTTCACGAAATTGAAAACCGCCATTTTTGTAACATGGAAACAAGGGAAACGACAGAGAAACAACACCATGGTCCCAGAGTCTGACAAAAAAGCCACAGGCCGAGCAGCAGGTATCACATCGCCTCGACGTCCACCTTTGTTATGTCGCATATAAATGATGTCATGGGATGTTCCACTGCGTTGCTATAATGACCTCAACCATATTAGCTGGTACTCTTTAGTAATGAAGAACGAGTCGTGCCAAGTCAAGTAGGAAGTAATGGAAAAAGGCCTAATACTAAATGTGTTCATGATCTGCATGTTTGATTTGGCCAAGATTTTATGCTGGATGTCAATCCCTTTATGACCAGTGTCGCCATCTTAACGGACCACGTCAAAAAGTTCAAATAATCTCAAACTTGTTTCTTGAACATGACGGCGAGTTCACTGCACTCAAATGACCTCCATAGTCACCAGAGCTCAATCCAATAGAGTACCTTTGGGATGAGGTGAAACGGGAGATTGTGTGATGTTATCATATCAATATGGACCAAAATCTCTGAGGAAAGTTTCCGGCACCTCTTAAATCTGTTTTGAAGAATTAACATGGATCTGAAGGCAAAAGGGGGTCCAACTGGTACTAGCAATCAGTAAGTAATGAAGTGACCAGTAAGAGTATCTAAAACTCAAGACAACGCAAGGAGCCCTGCTGATGAATGAATAACCACAGGAGAGAACTGATTTCAATACTGGACTCAGTGTTAAGTGAGACAAGTAACAAAGGGAATCTACAGAAGAACTGACAAGTTCTCAAAGAAGCTTTAAGAAACAAACAACCGATCTGCCAAGTACACTGAGAAACTTCATGCTACTGTCTCAAGGTGAACTAATGCCACTGCAAGGCCAAATATTGGCCCATTCTGCATGATACAGTTCAAAGAAAATGTGTATTTGCAAAAATTGCTTAAAGTCAAGATCATGCAACTTTAGACGAATACTGAATGTTCTAAAAGTAAATCAAAAGGGTACAAGGTCACAACAATAATGGAGACAGGAGAAAAACTGCAGAATTTGGGAATAACAAACTCGGGCAGCTAAATACTTGAACCATTGTAAAATAAATAAATGAATAAATAAACTACAACAGTAAATATCGATTAAAATTCGCAGATGTTGCAGGCATGCAAATTTTCTGTCAGCTAACATCACTACACATCATGCTCCACGTCACCTCCTGGTGCTGCCAAAGACATGAGGTAAAAACACCAGAACAGGCTGCATTAGAAAATATCCAACGCCAATAAAAATTGTAGGTGATGTGAAGCGATAGAGAAAGAGTGTGATTACGCAAATACCACATCTTATGTGTGGTATAAAGTGTTTACACAAATTAGTATTTCATGCAGTGAGTTGTAGTTAGAAGCCCCACAGCTTTAACAGTGTTAAACGAGTACATTCAAAACACCTTTAAACAATCTAGTAAAGTGTAAAGCACAGTTAATAGTAGCTAAAACCAAAAATGTTAACAACCCAATATACTGGTTGCAAAAATGAGCTTATTTAAACATCATTTGTTTCACATATATGGTGCAGTAATAATGATGCTAAATACATAATCAGTCATTTGAATAGAGAACACCAATAGGTTGAAATGTCAGAAGGTCCTGTAAAGTTTACTTGTTAACCTTCTTAGGACTTTATAACTGATAATAATTAGAGTAAGCTTATAAATAATACCTTTATGATATTATGATTACTGAAATGTTTCCTCATTGCTTCTCTCAGTGAATAGATAAAAAACAATGACAATAACAATTATTCAAAGCAGAAGGACAAAGCACTACCATGAGGTAACAATATTATCTGATGCAAAATTGTTTTAACTGCCAAAAATTGATGCATCAAGGACCTGCTCAGCACGTGGCTGTGTGGCTGAAGGTGGGATTTGGTAAGGAGAAGGGACTAGCTTCAGGTCGTGTGCCATATCTGGAGATTATCATTCACATGTCAGAACATCACAGTCATTCTCACACAGAGCTGGAAGATTGAAGGTTTAAAAACAGACAGTGACAGAAATGAAAAGAAATGACAACATTAAAAAATACACCAATAACACTTGTTAGATTGATGCTTTTTGATCCGATGCTTATGAATGGGAAGCATTCATGGAAAGACGGCATGTTTTTGTATAATCCACGGTTTCAAATACAATGTGAACATTACTGCTCAGGTTCTGACCTTCGGTATCTGGCTCTCCGTGCGCCCAGCGGTTTACGAGTTGCCACGGCAGCAGCAAAGCTGACGAGGCAACAGAGGGAGACGCCAACAAGCTTCGTTGTGTACATCCAGCTCAAGGCATCAGTCATGTAGCTCTCGGCCATGTAGAGGCACAGGATGAAGAACCACAGGACAGAGGCTACAGCATCAATTCTCCTCAACCTGAAATGCAGCAAGATTTGTTTTTTTTGTTTTAATTAAACTGGGAACTATGAACAGCCCACCCAAAGGCAAATAAAATGGTGGCTGCTTACCTTGCAGGTCCAGCTAAGAAGATACCAGTGAGACAAGTTAACAGGCCACCAGAGACTACAGCCAGCTGGTTGTCCTTCCCATGCTGCCACGCAAGCTCGGCATTTTCTATGGCCTTGTCTGGGATCAGCTCCAGGAGACTCTGCCACACAGGCGACACTCTGCTGCTGTTATCAGTGTGGGTAGACTCATTGTGGACTTGAGGCTTTGGAGGAACAACCCCACCACTTAATGTCTGCGAGCCATCAGGTGACGAAGGCTGGTCTGGCAATTCACAGAAAATTGTGGCAGCAAGGAAAGCACATATTAGGAAGGCAAGGGCCCGCAAGAGTACGACTCCCATGGGAGAGGACAGGGACTGGGCACTCTGCAGGAGGACAAAAACAAACCAAACAAAGAAAAAAACAAAAAAAAAAAACAGGCTCTTATTGTGACATTTTCACAGCATACTGAAATTAATAGCATACAATGTCAACATAGTGTTAATAAAGTCTACAACAGGGCTCTGAATGCCAATTAAACGAACTGAAAGCACTGTTAGTTATGGTTCAGTGCTTTACCAAGAAACGGGTAACAGGACTGCACCACATTAATGAATCACTAGTGTGAATAAGAAAGTCAAAGTTTAATGCACTCCATTAAAGCCACAGCAGTGGTTAAATATCGTTCACTCGTATCCTCACACAACCTGAAATTAGACATGACGTCTAATGTCACAGATCACACTGGAGCAGAAGCGGTAACAATTGATTAATCACTTTAAACGCTGAAAAGCAGGACTTGTGTCAAAGCGCTAATCCTTATCAGCAGACCCATGAAAACAAGAAACCTGTTGATCGCTTCACTGTTTGAACACTTGCCTATTTTGTTTGAGTAGGTCAAAGAGGATCCGAATGCACACTAAATAGCTACTGATAAGGCATTATGTCATTAGGTGTAACAACAAAGAGCAAAAGGATGAAAGTTTCCCTCTTACATTTCAAGATGAACAAATTATGTTAAACATGAAAAAGCAACAAGATGGTATCACAGAAAAAAAGTTAAAATTAAGGCAGTTTCCTGCTTGTCTCAGCTAAAATAATCATGTTATTTAGTATCTGGCTAAAGGTCAAACACCCTGCATACTACAGCATTTGGTCATTTAGTGTCTTTTATGTGTGATTTTTTTTATTAAATAATTCACAATATTTTATGACTGGGTGAGATCGAGTTGCACTGACCTTTACAAAGCCCATGTCTGACTCCCGAGTGCGCCGCAGCTGATTATTAAGAAGCACCGTACGAAGCTGGCGGTTCTGATATTTAATGTAGTACTCCACTGCTGTCTGACATGGCCTGCATAACTTATAAGTCTGCTCCAGGTGATGCTTGTAGGCTTCAATTTCCTCATCGTAGTTCTCCTACGGGAGAAAGAAACGGCATTTGGTGTTATTCTTCAGAACAGCATGTTGGGCAATACTATGATGTGACAGAAACAAAGTGCATACATCATCCCTCGGGATATATGAGGCCAACTGTTTGATCTTTGCAGACTGGTTGTTATTACACTTCCGGCAAAGCAGCATCTGACAGTTGACCCACTGCAGAGTCTTAGGTGTCTCCGATGAAGGAAGGCTTCCAGATATGCCATGATTTAGATGCTCCATGTACTGAGCAGGAATGGGCTTGTTGTAGTCGCCATTCTGAAAACACAGACAGTTTTAAAAAAAATGTATATGCGTTAGAGAAAAAGAATTACCACACTTAAGAAACAAGTTACATAGTGTATAACACTTACCTCCTGGAAGCCATTGTACTGGTCACAATTGGGGCAATCCCAGCAGTTCCTGTTCCCATAGGGCACAACTGTGTTCTGATTACAGAACCAGCAGTTAACACTTGCATGGGTGGGCTTCTTTCTGTAAGCAACAAGGTAAATCCAGCGTGTTATTCAGTGGCAACCGCTGCTGTTCAGTTATGCAAAAATACTTAACCTAGCCTAGCCTGAGACATCTGAATATGCCCATTGTATTGATGTCACGTGACATAAATACTAACTGTAAACATCAAACGGGGTTAGCTAAAGTTGGACTCACAAAACTGCGAAGCATCAAGTTAGTTAGCGGCACAGCTGCTCTTAAAGTGAGCGCCCGGGCTAGCGTAAATACACAGATCTCTCCAGAGGAGCAATAGGAGCAGGACAGGAAGCACTATTTCTTTAATGTCACAATTAAAAAAATCAACTGGTGTGTTTCTTTTATTCCACACACATTAACTTGTGCTAGCGTGAATGTAGCGTTAGCTACAAACACACCGCCGCGGTGCCAGAAGTCGGAGAAGTTACCTGGTGGCAATTTTATATATGAGCGCTCCGCCGGCGAAAAACGCCGTAGCTCCGACTCCGCTGTACATTAATTCGGGGTATTCCAGCAGAAGCTTGCTAAGCGTCTCCATCTTTTTTCGCAAAAACATTAAACGTAGTGTTTTAAGATTGCAAAACACGGCGCGAGCGCGCACGCGGCAAACGATTCCTTTTGTTCACGCCCCTGTAACGGAAACGGAAAGTACGTCAATACCTGGACGCGTTCCAATAGGGTTCATTAAATCCTTGCTGTCCACTCTAACGCTTACGATGCTGCTTTTCATTTGCGCCCAATAACACATTTTGGTGGCGGTGTTTATTAAAGTAAAACAAATTAAAAATGAAATAAACTAAGCATGTTTTTCCTCTACGGTAAGTAAATAGCTGTGCAGAGGATACATGCTATGATCTTGTTGGAATGCGGGACAGGGTATTAACCCAGATTAAAAAGCCTGTTCGGGACATAAAACTTTATTAACTGTTATTGTTATTGGCTTCCGAACTTTTCTTAGAAATATCAGGTTTTCCTATATTTCCTCAGTATCAAAGTACTTCCGCTTGAAAAAGTTTCCATCACTTTACACAAGTAAAAACCTTCAATACTTAGAAACAGTTTAAACAAAGCATACAGGTCTGTGAAATATTACAGCTAATATCCATTTTAAAACCTGCATTTTCAGGTAGCCTCGCTTAAAATGTATCAAGTCTTCTACAATAATCATCATCATCATCATTAATAAATAAATAATAATGATAACAAATTGGAGAGGGTGAAGTTTCTGATGCAAAAATAACTTTATTTGAACAAACGTGATGTATTTTACATCAAACAAACATTCACAATCGAATGAGAAAACGGGTCAGTGCTTGAATGTCATTCATCTTTTATAGCAGCTCACACATTTGGATAAATCCGGAGAAAACAAATAAATAACGTTACAGCAAACGTACAGGCCTATTCAAAATTATATACCAATATAAAAAAACAGAGAAAAAGAACAAAAGTTTGCTTATTTGTAAGCCTATATCCCGCAGTAAAAAAAAAAATTACAAAATAAAAATGCAAACCTCAAACCTCAGACTTAGATCAGCTGTCTTCCTGCCGTTCACACTTGATGGGGGCAAGTTTGAAATAAAATGACATGGTATATGGTAGACCTGCCGTCTGTAATTCTTACAAAAACCCAAACTTTATAAAAACTGTACAAAATCTATACAAACAAAATCATCAACAGCATTATTTATAACAGACATATGAAACTGCCAAACTAAACCAAGTACCTGACAAACCAGTGACAGCCGAACTGAAATGGTGAGAGGCGAACTCAGATGTGAACTTGCCATCAAAGCACAAAATAACTCAAAAGTCCTACTGGTCCATTAAATAAGCCAGGGCTGGGTCCGCTGGCCTGCCGTAGGAGGTGAACTGCTGGTAGCTGCAAGCCACGGAAACGGTGCCTCCATCCGGGCTCATCGGTTGGGTCACCCCGCCGTAAGGATACCCGTTGTGGGGGACCAGCACGGGCGGGTGGCGGCGGTAAGCGCCGTAGTGAGGATGGTGAAAGTGGGGAGGAGGGGTGCAGTAGGAGGTCATGGAGGTGCCCGGGGACACGCTGCGGCTGTGTCCCGTGCTGACCGTAGCTGACGCATATCCCGTCGGTGGGGTCGAGCCGGGCTGGCACATGCTCCAGGAGCTGCTCACGTAAGGCTGCAGGTAGAGCGACTCCGAGTACTCCACGGGATTCCCGCCCAGGTAAGGCACACTCGGGGGTCTGTAGGGTCTCCGCACCCTCCTCCGCCGTCGGTAGTTTCCCTTCTCAAACATGTCCTGAAATGCGGGGTCCAGCATCCAGTAGTTGCCCTTTCTGTCCCCTCCGCTGTCCCTGGGCACCTTGACGAAGCACTCGTTGAGAGACAAATTGTGTCTTATGCTGTTTTGCCAACCTTTCTTGTTCCTCTCGTAGTAGGGGAACTTGGACACTATATACTGATAGATCCCGCTCAGAGTCTGTCTCTTGTTCTCGCTGTCCTTGATGGCCATGGCGATGAGAGCCACGTATGAATACGGCGGCTTCTCCAGCTGTCCGGTCTCCTGCGCACCTTTAGGCTCACAAGGGGGCGAGTTTGAGCCGATGTCCAGAATCTGCGCACCTTGGGGGGACTTCTCTGCATCCATGACTCAGGTAAGCTATCGGTTTGTTTGTGGGTCTGGCTGCGACTGGTATCTGCCCGGTAAGCAAGGCAGCTCTATGATTGTGTCTGCAGGTGCACACGGACACATACACACACTCCTCCCACAGGTACCGCGCAGCTGTTGTTGCCAGCTTTGATCTCACCGGGTTTCTCACACTGTTTATGCCATTGTGTGTGAAACCGTGGAGGCTGTTTAGGTTGAAGCAGGGGTCAAGAGGCTGTGTTTTAACTGCAGTCAAAAATATTCCCCCTTTTGAAGCAGGGCGATCAAAGACTTATTTAGGTGTACTGAGTTTACGTGAGTGACAAGTAATGTTCTAACACACAGCAATCCTAAAATCTTATCTACATCTGATCTCCACGACCTTAGGAAAGGCAACAGGTGGGAAAACATGTGTAATATTAAACTGGAGATTTGATCTTCCCTAAACTAACAACTCAAGAAAGCTGTTTATATATGACATTTTGCTAAAAGCAATGCTCTTCATATAGTTTTACTATTTTATTTGAACTTGTCGAAGACGTTAAAGCATGCTGCACAATAATGACAAAATGTACTATTAAAATAAGTCTTAACAGCAGCACAAACGTGCACACATTTGCATTGATCTGTGATCTGTTACAGTCAGCTGCCTTTTTACAGTTTTACACATTGTTTCAGCTCTGAGACACGTGGTGGTTGGGGCTTTCCAGCTCCTAATGTTGCTACAGGCACAGAGGTACTAGCAGCACAGGTATCAGAGCTCAGCATACCACCCACATACAGTGAGGCATGAACAGCAGGCCTGTCTGTCCGCTGAGGACAGTAGATAATGATCACCTACTCTCACCAGACAGTCTGTCTCCCCTGAACTGATAGGGAAACACTGATCTCAATAGGAGAGCAACCAGTGGAAAGAAAACTAGTATGTGTTTGCAGAGGATTTGAGGGTATTTCAGTTGGCTTCTGTTGTTACTGTAAATCTATTAATATTTAATGAATGGTGCTTTCACCATTATATTTGTTTAATAAAGTTAAGTACACTCATATAATATTTTGATTATTTATACTGTCTAAAATGTGCTTTTAACTCTCATAGTGCATATAAACACAACACATCTGAAGTTTTCTATTAAAAGTTATGAAAATATGTATTACACTGAGCAAGTCTGCAGGTCAGGGCACCATATACTGTAAACGACATTTTGCACCAGATAGTTTGCATGTATGTGATCGAATATGAGTGCAATCGATTGTTTTCTGTGCAATGGTCCACACTTATTTTTTAATAGTTTACTTGGAAAATGTTAAAAAGGTGCAGTGATTTATTTAATCATGTGAAAACATACATGGAAATACAGTTTCAAAGGGGGAAAAACAGAGTTTGTATATATTTCTAAAAAGCATTCAACAAAGTCTGAACTCTCTTAGGCAAGATTTCTTGTAATTTCTTGATGTACTCTAAATAAGTAGTTCTCCAGGTTTCTTAAGGGATATTTCATTAGTTCTCTTCTTTGTTCTGTTCTCTGTTGGGATGATTCCACATTGCTTTAATAATTTTGAGGTTTGATAGACTTCTGTTGTGTTTTTGAACCAGGTTTGCTTTAACTGCAGTGGCAATGACTTTGGGGTAATTTCGGGGCTGAAATATGAGGTCGATGTCGATCAGAGGCTTTTGAGATAGTACTGCATGGTGCATCAAAATCTGACTTTTCTTCATTTATATTTTCATCAGTTTTGACACGACTCCAAAACCACTGACAGAGCCTCCACCCTGTTTTAAAGACGCCTTTAGACACTTGCTGTTGTGTTTCTCTCCTGACCTCCTCAGTACACGTTGATGATAATTTGAGCCAGAAGTTTTAAATTTAGATTAATCACAAGACATGTTGCTACTGATTTTTAGTCCAGTTCTTGTGTAATTTGGCATACCAAAGCCTTTTGCCTTCTTGACAGCCACCCTTCCACTGAAACTATTTCTGATGAGTTTTTAGTGAACAGTAGAGGGATTAAATGAAGGGTCAGATGTAGGTCATGTATCAGGTCTTTGCTAGACCTATTTTTAGCTGTTAAGGACATGACTTTCAGATACTGTTAATCTGCTGTAGATAGTTTTTTTTAGGCCTGCCACTGGAAAACTATTGCTTAAAGAATGACAACAGTCTGGATCCCCAGAAGCAAAATAGTAAAACTACTACCATTGATAATAA